CGTGTTATGGCCGAAAAGGAGAGCCCCGAAGAGAACGGACAACTCGTCTACGAGGTAATTTCTTCTCCCTAGTACCTAGGTTTCTGATGTGAGCCCCGTCAGTGTCCAGTTGACCACCAGGCTTATTTTGAGTCGTAATAATCACCATCAAAAACAGCGATATGTTTATTTTGCCCTTAACTTCATTCGTTTAATTGTCGAATCCCTTATTCAGGCGTATGCGATTATACTAAGATTATGATGATATACTGAAGGAAAGTTTTGTCGATGGCCAGCAACACTAGGACAGGGGAATCGGTTTTGCCGCATACATTTTATATTAAGCTTTATAGTAAAATAAAATTACAAAACACAAACACAAAGATGTTTTAAAGCTGGAGGAAGACAAAAGCAAATAATATTAAGAAATTAGTAAATGTTATAAAATATCTTAATAAAATTATTATAATCCATAATTCACTGCCCATGAGCTCAGTGAATTATGAAGTCTTATTTTTTTGATTTGTTACTGAAAATGGTTTATGGCAAGCCTGTACTTATAAAATTAAAAAATTAATAAATGTTATAAAATATCAGTAACGTCGACGAATCAACTTGTGCAATCTTAGTAATTACTTTTTTAGTACCCGTACAGGAAAACAGCCATGTTTAGCAAGTTCAAAAAAAAGTTAAGCTACATAAAGGAAAATAATCATATTCTGTAGCATGAACAAGAAATTCTCGCGTTCAGCTGCATAGGGGAAAAAAGCAGAAACAATCATGTGGATTTTATATGCAGTTTAAAGGGGTGAAGTGCGACCAAATTCGAAACCCAATAGAGCACACGCTGCAATCCTGTAATCGATTTACGGGAGGGAAGTTAAGAATTTTACTCTGCTGTAACTTCGGATTTTTCTTCTAGGCTGTGCTATACAACAACGAAGAACTGCTACGCGAATTGCTGGAAGCAAATCCGGGCAAAGTGCACTATCGGGATAAACATGGCAGAAGCGCGCTGCATATTGCTGCTCAGAATGGCGTACTTGCTGTTGTGGACCTTCTCATCAAAGCTGGTGGTAAGAATTTCCTCCTCGGCAACCTATCAATAAATGGCCTCAGCAAATGGGTCGGTCGTAATTTGTGGTGTAGCTCTCCAGCTGTGCAGCTGTCCGGTTGATTTGATCGGTGTTTTATTGCCCAGTTATCACCTGCAGGCCATCCTGCCGATTGTTAAATTACCTCTGTAACTTAAAGGATGGATTTTTAAAAAATTTTTACTCTTGTATACAGCGAATTGAGGGAAATAGCTGTGTTCGGCTAAATGAAAGCTTGTTTTTACCAGCTGTTTTCTACTGAATTTTGTTTAATGGAATTTTTCTTTCAGCTAATTTTGTTTTTCATTTTCCAATTTCAGCCGATGTGAACAGTATGGCAGGTCCAAGTGCGCTCTGTGCCACACCGCTACATGTAGCTGCAGTTTCCGGGCGCTTGAACGTGGTGCGACGATTGATCGATGCCGGAGCTGAGCTTCTGGCAACCGATCTCCGCGACCATTGTGCACTGGAACTGGCGCAGATGGCGAATCATTTCGAGACTGCTTGCCTTCTCATTGATGCAATCGGTATAGTTTCATCTGCAGTTTGAGGGGGATGTAAAGCACTTCACAGGCAAAGGGCTTCTGTCAGCTGCAACAGTTTCATTATTTCCAACTTTAACAGAACATCAGTTAAGTTTGTTGTCACGCTTTGCGGTTTCTAATTCAAAAGCTCCTTAAGTTCGGTTGTTGGTCACGCTGTTAGATCTGTGGAATAGATGGTGAAAGCGGATATACTTGACAGAAATCCAGTGCTTTTTTGAAATTGAGTTTCAAAGAAGTGGCATTGGTTTACTATATAAGAAGTATATAGATTATTTAGCAATTTTCTCAAGATTGTTACTTCTTCCTGACATAACTATTATTACTTCGAAGAATGCAGGGTAGCGGAGCCAACGACGGCAGGAGCAGTAATTCTAAAAAATTTACCATCATGCTAAGCTAGCTTGTAAAACTCTAGTATCAGAATCTCCCTGATAGCTAGTTACTGTTTCTACTGTCATGGAGTGGTTTTCAGCCGCACTAATGATGTGTGAGAATTACGTAATTGATCGTAAATATTAGAACGATACTGCATGTATGATTAGTCACATAACTTCGCTAATTTCTGTTTCACTGGTTGCAAATTCTCGATTTTCTGAATTTTAGGAAATGTCAGCTTCATGCAACTTTGATCATTTACTTAGAAACTTGGAAAGTGCTTTATAAATATCATTTCGCATTGAAATTTCATAGTGAAAAGTGAATTCTTAATTTAAAGGCAAAACGAGCTGAGGCTGTGGCTTGCTTCTGAATGATAATTAGTAAATTACACATTGTTTAGAGATGGATCGCGAGAAAACTCGTCTGTTACATAATGATCTCATCAAGGCCTCCGAAGAAGGTGATATCAGTGCCGTAGTGGAGGCGCTGCCGAATCTCTGCGCATCCAACTGCGATGCCGTGCTGAACGGAGCTACTTTGGATCGCAAATGTGCTCTCTACTTGTACGTTTTTTTTAACCATAAAAATACAAAAGCAGTCTTTTCTTTCTTTTTTTCATTAAAAAATCAAGCCTTTCATACCGGTATTGGATCTAGGTTTTTTTACTTTTGATATCGTTGGATGCGCCTTTAAGTTACGTTTCCACACGCGAAAATGTACATTAGATACCTCGAGCGCTATGTAAATTGCTATAGTTCATTTATTTGTACTTTCCTCTAATCCCTTCAAAAATTACGTTTCAATTGTTTTTTCTCTTTACCATCGATA